TGTTATAAGGTGAATCAGACAATACCATCTCATTAATGAATATATTTTAAAATATATATTAATTTTTACATATTTATTTTAAAGACTAATATTTATTCATTAATAAATTAATATCATCTAATTCAGCAACAATATATAGAATCTATACACTAATGCAGTAAACATAAACTCAAAATAAAATTACATATAGAAAAATTAAAGAATTTGATGAAACCAACAAGAGCATAACGTAAATTTGCAAACTTTTATTATGGTAGAACTTATAATATCGTTGTTCATTTCTAAACCAATTTTGTTTTTAGGACGTTAAAAGCTTGAATTTATAAAGAAATTTAAAAAGAAAAAGAAAAACTCTTAGTCAACAAATCAAAATATTTTGTGTTCATACTTTAAGAATCTAAGTATACAAATACATATATATATATATATATATATTCCATCTAATTATAGTGGATATGAAGGCAATGTCAATTTCAAGGTTGATGCCATTGTCAATATTTGATGTTATAGTCTTTTAGACTTTAAAAAAAAAAAAAAAAAAACTGAGAAGTAGTTATATTGACTGGAATTTGCAATAAGATTTTCTTCTTTCCACGAAGAAATAGTATGTAGCAGGAAGCTACATGGAACATTAAGTGTGGAAAGAATTTTTTTTTTCTCTCATTGATTTTTCCTTTTATCAAATGAACTCAACTTTAACCATTAATTTTGAAAATATAATGTAATAATAATTTTCAAAAGTATATAATTTGAAAACTTTGAAATTCAAAATTTCAAGTCTTAGTTTTTAAAAATTTATAGCATTTTAATCTTTTGAAAAATAATAGCTAAAGTTGAGTTCATTTAATAAAAAAATCATTAAAAACAAATGAATTGAAATGGATAGAACGTTAAACACCAAAACAAATTTGACATTGTACTGTGGATTAATATTAAAATTTTTTTCCTTATAATTTAATTCGTTGAATTTTGTCACAATACTTTTAATTTAGGTAAATTTTTTAACAAAAAATAAAGAAATTGAAATAAATCACGAAATAATTTATTTATACAAACGACAAATCTGCTCAATGCATTGTCAATTAATGTTGATTTTGAATATATCAGTATGAAAATGACAAACTTTCATCAATTTCATCGCCTTATATTCAAAAGTCAGTTTATAGGGATGGCTATTATTGCCTAACTCCTTGATTGGCTATATATATTAAGCCCAATGCAAGGCTTATTGTTATAAATTTATAAGTAGCAGTTGAGAGAATTGAAAATATAGAGATATAATAGAGAAAGAGATGATGGAACCCAAATGGTTGTGGTTGAGTGTGTTGTTGTTGTTGTTAGGAGGGTACGGATGGAATGGTACTGATGCTTGTTGGGAGGATGAGAGGATTGCTCTCTTGCAACTCAAACCTTTCTTCAATCGTTTAAATTATCTGAACAGCTGGGAAGAGGAGGTAAAGGGTTCAGATTGCTGCCAATGGGAAAGGGTCGAGTGTAACGCCTCCTCCTCCTCCTCCAGGCGAGTCATAGGACTCTCTCTTAATTATACAACATGGTCCTACAAAGAAAGATGGTATCTCAATGCCTCTTTGTTTCTTCCTTTCAAGGAATTGAAGCGTCTTTATTTGCCAGAGAATAACATCGCTGGTTTCGTTGAAAGTGGAGGTCCATTTTGCCCTTACATTGCTAATTTGCAATATGAAAATTCATTCATAACTTTTTCACTTTTACAATCATATTTAATTCTATTATTGTTTTATTAATGAAAAGCCATTAAGTCCTTATTATATATTTAAAAGAACTCTCTTGCAGGTTTTGCGAAGCTAAATTTGGAGATCCTTGATTTAAGTGACAATTACCTCAATGATACAATTTTATTATCTTTGAGTCAACTTTCATCTCTCAAGGATTTAAATCTAGCAGGAAACTTGTTCACAGGATCAACTCATGCAAACGGTAAAGTTAAAATTAATCTAATAATGATTATGAATGATATACAGTTATTAAAATATTAATTTGTCTTCATTACAGGTTTCCAATGGCTCTCAAGACTTAATAATTTGGAAACTCTTGATTTAAGGTACAACCATTTGAAAAATAACATATTGTTTCATATGAATGGTCTTTCATCTTTAAGGACTTTAAGTTTAAGTAAAAATCACTTGGAAGGAACCGTTCATATTCACGGTAAACTCACTTTACCTCTTATTTGTGTTAAAGTCAAATTTTGTTTCAAGAAAAGCTCTTGCATATTATTTGATTTTATATATAATATAATTAATTACTCGTTGAGGTTGAATAGAATTGAATAATTTGACAAACTTGAAGAACTTGGATTTAAGCAACAATAGAATTGAAAGCTTCCGACCATCAAAGCAAGGTATAAATATATATTTCAATTCACTCAACTAAGATCATAATTATGTGATCAGCATATAAAATTTTCGATTGACAATAACATATAATAGAATTATATATTCTTGTTCAGGAAACGAGACACAATTGAGGTTGACCAATTTGAAGGAACTTGATTTGAGCCATAATCTCTTCAGGAACAACATATTTTCCTTCCTTAGGGGGTTTTCAAGTCTAAAGTCCTTAAATATGCAGGGGAACCAATTGCAAGGCTCCATAGACGTTAAAGGTAAAGCTTTTACTACCTTTGTTTTTTTTTATAATTCTTTTTAAAAGCCTTAAACTCATAAAAAAAATTGTTTTTGCTAAGTGAAAGGTATTTATTAATTAATCAAAAGGGTACAAAGCTAGCATAAAGTTAATTCAGCAAAGCAAATAGACCTATGCATTCAAACCAAACTGACAAAACACCACCCAAAGTATATAACTGAAGACAAAACACCTAAAAGCTACACCACCTTACCCATAAGCCAATTAGCCCCAGACCAAAGCGAGCCATGTGTGGTTTCAATTTTTTGTATTGTCGGCATAGAATCACTCTCCACTATCACCTGCTCTGTACCCTGTTCAAAAGCTAGTTACAGTCCCCAAAGGATCGCTTTTGCCTCTGTATGAAAGGAACTTTCAGTCCAGTCTACTCAAGTCACTGCTGAAAAAACCACGTTACTCTTTGAATCTCTAAGAACAGCACCTAGCCCAGCTTCCTGTTCTCTGAACCTATACACTGCATCCACAATGAGCTTTAACATATCCAGTACAGGAGGTTGCCAACTCTATCCTTGTGGCTTCCTCGAGATCATAGTTGGTTGGGCAACCAGTTCTAGCCTTTCCCTCACAAGGGCTGTCTTTACCAATGATTTCCCCATAGCACATGTTACTCGATGGAGGCTTTTTAATTACAATCATCGTATTGTAATTCTTATTGTGTTAATTATAATATCATAATTCTTAATATTATCATGTTTGCTTATATAATTACATTAATTAAGTTAACAAATATTATATTATTTTCAAAATGTGAAATGAAACCCAGTTAAGATGCTAATTGTACCTTTTGTCTCTTGGATAGTTGCAGTTGCTAATATGACAACTTTTGGTTGCAAAAAAACATTTCTTGTTCATAATATCCGGTAGGAAAAAAGCCATTAGCTTAAGAATCAAGCTACACCTATTGGGCAAAAAAAAAAAAAAAATCAAGCTACACCTAGTTATGAAGGAGGATGTCACTTATTAAACAGTCAGTCATTTCGATTTTTGATTGGGATAAGAAATTCGAATCCAACTCTATGTAAGATAAAGACAACCAAACCAAGTATTTATTATTGAAGTGAGAAAACCGATACATGACTGAATTAGAAACAGTTGAGAAACCATTTTGTAGTTTTTTTCTTTTTAATTTTTGTCTCCTGAAGTTTCCTGAGTATTTGTGTTAATGGATCAAGTCAAGCAAATGGTAGAATTAAAATTAACCCAATAGTGATTATGAATGATATATAGTAATTAAAATATTAATCTTTTTCATTACAGGCTTCCAATGGCTTTCAAGACTCAATAATTTGGAAACTCTTGATTTAGGATACAACTCTTTGAAAAATAACATATTGTTTTATATCAATGGTCTTTTATCTTTAAAGACTTTAAGTTTGATGAGAAATCACTTGGAAGGAACTAATCACATTCACGATAAACTTGGTTTACCCTTTTTTTACGTTTAAATCAATTGTTGTTTCAGGAAAAGGTACTGCATATCATTTGCTTTTATACGTAATATTAATTACTCATTGGCATTGAGTAGGATTGAATAATCTGACAAATTTGAAGAACTTGGATTTAAGCGACAATAAAATTGAAAGCTTCCGACCATCAAAGCAAGGTATAAATATATATTTTAATTTACTTAACTAATTCTTAATTATGTGATTAATGTATAAAATTTCTCATTAACAATAGCAAATAATAGAAAATATTCTTATATAGGAAACGAGACACAACTGAGGATGACCAATTTGGAGGAGCTTGATTTGAGTAATCTTTCAAGAACAATACATTTTCTTCCTCTGAGTTTTCAAGTCTAAAGTCCTTAGATATGGGGGAGAACCAATTGCAGGCTCAATAGATATTAAAGGTAAAGCTATTACAGCTTTTTTTTTAATTCTTTTTAGAACCTTTTAAACTCATCAAATAGTAAATCTCATATCACATTTGGGATTTTTTTCTTCACTTAAAGCTTTAGATTATTTTGCCGTTTACTTCATTATAAAGTCATAAAAATATTCATAAAAGATTATTTGATAACCAGGCTAACATAATGATTATTTGAATTGAACTTGGACATAGAATTGAATAATTTGATGAATTTGAAGAAGTTGTATTTAACAACAAAATTGAAAGCCTTCAATCCTCACAAGGTATGCATTTATATTTGCTCAATTAGTTAAGTTGTTATATATAATTAAATATTATGTAAATCTTTTTTTAGTGATGAAATTATGTAAACCTTATGTAGATAGTGGGAGACAGCTGCACTTGACCCATTTAGAAGAATTTGATTTGAGTTATAATCTCATGAACGACATCATATTTGCATCACTTAGCGGGCTTTCAAATTTGAAGTCTTTGGATGTAAGCTACAATCAGTTAAATGGATCAATAGATATGAGAGGTAATTTTCATTCTTTTTATTTTGTGAAAATTTTGAATTTGTTAACAAAATCTTTATTCATGTTTCAAGATGACATAACAAATAAGTTCATCTGTTTCTTTTCTTTAATGATGAAATTATGTAAATTATTTATAGATACTAGGAGACAGTTAAAATTGACCTATTTCTAAAAGCTTGATTCAAGTCATAATCTAATTAATTATTACTTTTCAACCAAAATTTCAACTCTATTATAAATACTTTAAAAAAAATACATTTCATATATTTAGATGATTTAATGAAGTTTATTCATTACTTTTTTTCCAGACTTAGGTGCTTTTACCAACTTAGAGGAACTGGATATGAGTTATAATGATTTGAATGAATTTGTGAGCAGTAAAGGTATGGATTTAAATAAATTTTCTATTTTTATTTATGAGGTTTATAATGATGTAGATGTTTTAATGACCAAAAAATTCAGCATATTAAAATTTAATGCTCAAATTTTTAAAGGAATAAATTAATTATTTATTATATGCTTTTTATTACAATGCTACAATTCTCTAACTATAATAAAGAATTATGCAGGAATCGATTATTTATAAATGTGACCTCCATATAAAATTTTGTTAGACCTCACGTAATTTTGAATTGTGGCTATTTAATTGTATTATAATGATTGTAGGTGAAATGCTCTCATTAAAATTAATGTCTGATTTTTTAAAGGAAGAAATTCATTCTAATTTGATTACTAATTAGAAAATGATATATATTTGCCTTAGATAATTGCTTTCTTTAAGAAGTGTTGCAATGGCATATCAAATATTTCCCTTTTTGTTTGTATTACCTTGTTGTGTCTTAGGGTTGGACTTGTTTGCCTTTTGTCATTCTGTTTTAGATTACTACGCATTCTTATTACCGTTTAAAAAATTTTGCCTTTTCATGTTACCGTTTTGTTTGATATTCATTTTTTTTTATTGTTTCGTATATTAAAATTCATATTAAAAATTGTTAACATTTCAATATTCTTCTCTATTAAAAATTCATCTTGCATAAATCTTGGATATACAATCTTATCAACAAAAATAAAAATTTACTATTATTTATTTTTTCTATTTACAGAATATAAGAGATTGAAAAAGTTAAAAGTTCTTCGTCTAAATGAGGTTTCACCAATGGAAGTAGTCCATTATTGCTAAAATTAGTAAAGGCATTCCCATCGGTTAAGAACCTTCTATCTACAAGGGAATTACTTAAACAAGACTATGGCTACTCAAGATCAAGGTAAGTCATTAATTTATTCCAAAAGGATTAAAAATTAGTAGATGTTTGTTGATTAACATCTAATAATACCTCATATTCTATGATTACTCAGAATTGCATGTGTGGAGCAATGTGGAGAAATATTTCTAGACGGTTCTTATCTCAACACAACATTTTGCAAAGCATTGGAGTGTTCACTTCTCTTAAAACTTTGTCTTTATTTAGCTGTGGACTTATTGGTTCCTTACCTAATCAACGGTAAATTAAAGACTATAATTTCTCCAATATAACTCATGGAATACATCTATTTCCAATAATCCTTTATTCTATTTCTTTCACCTATATCTTTTATATATATTCTGTTTTTGGAAAAAAAATTTATTTAAAATTTCTTCTATGAATTTTATAAATTTTTCAGGTTGGTGTGATCTAAGAAACGCTTGAAAACGTTGAATTCAGTTGAATGCACTTGAGGGGATACTTCCTTACTGTTTGGGTAATTTGACATCTCTTCTTGAGTTAGATATCTCCTACAATCAATTTACTGGAAGTTTGACGCCTTTAGCAAATCTTTCATCACTTAGATTCGTCTCCCTTTCAACAAATCACTTTCAAATTTCAATGCCATTCTTGTCACTTGCAAACCTTCCAAATCTCAAGATTCTCTTGGGTGATGAAAACAAGATGATAATGGAACCTAATTCCTTTCATGCTTCAATTCCGAAGTTCCAACTAAATATCATCAGTTTGTCAAAGTGTACAACAGATAAAGGACTTAGTCTACAACCTCCTAATTTCCTTTATTACCAATATGACTTGAGATATGTTGATTTTTCCTATAACAATTTTAGTGGAACAGTCCCATTATGGTTGTCAGAAAATAACACAAAATTAGAAGATCTCCTCTTGTTAGGTAATTCTTTCACTGGTCCTCTCTTGTTATCACAGCTTCTTAATCCTAATATGTCTTCAATTGACATATCTAATAACAAATTACAAGGTCAAATTCCAACAAATATATGTTCAAATTTTCCAAATTTGGAATTCTTATTCTTATCTAAGAATGCCATTAAAGGTAATATCCCTCCTTGCTTAGGTGGCATGAACACTTTATCAGTTTTAGACCTATCAGACAATCATTTGTCTGGAAGAGTACCAGAAGAGTTGGTCATGAGAAGCTCATTAGGTATTCTTAGGCTATCAAATAACAATCTAAGTGGAATGATTGTTCCTATGATGTTCAACACAAGCAAGTTGTCAAATTTGTATTTGGATGGTAATAACTTTGCTGGAGAGATTCCGGATATTGATGTTTCTGCTACTGATTTTTCACATTCATCACTAGAGGAAATTGATCTCAGTAATAACAGTTTTAATGGAAAGCTCCCAAGATGGATAGGGAATGTATCGCATTTGAAGAGATTGGCTTTGTCCAATAATCATTTCGAAGGTTCTATTCCAATGGATTTGTGCAACTTGTATGAGCTTGAATTTTTGGAGCTTTCTCAAAACAATTTATCTGGCTCTATTCCTTCTTGTTTCAATACACCATATTTGAGACATGTCCACTTGAAGAGAAACAAACTAAGGGGTCCATTGACATTTGCTTTTAACAGTTCTTCATTAGTGACATTAGATCTTAGAGGGAATAATTTAACCGGTAATATTCCAAAATGGATTAGCACACTTTCTGCTTTAAGCGTCCTTCTTTTGAAAGATAATCATCTAGACGGTGGAATTCCAGTTCAATTATGCAAGTTGTATTCATTGAGCATCGTAGATCTTTCTGGAAATATGTTTTCTGGTCATATACCTTCTTGTTTGGGTAATTTAACTCTGGCAATGAACAAGGAAAAGTCTTTTGTAGATAACTCTTGGTATATAGGATATACAATGAAGGATCTATCTATTTCAATTAATTCACATGGTTATCCCAATAGCTACATGGTAGAAGAGATAGAGTTTACAACAAAGAGTATGTCCTACACATATGGTGGTGACATTCTTGAGTATATGTCTGGGATTGATTTATCTTGCAACAAGTTAACTGGGCAAATCCCACTCGAATTGGGAAACTTGAGTGAAATCCATTCGTTAAACTTATCACACAATAACTTGATCGGAGTCATACCCTCATCATTTTCAAAGCTTAAGCAAATCGAGAGTTTGGACCTTTCTTATAACAACTTGACTGGTAGAATCCCTGTACAGCTGGTTGAGTTGAACTCTCTAGAGGTTTTCAGCGTGGCACACAACAACTTGTCAGGTAATATTCCAGAACCAAAAGCTCAGTTTGGGACCTTTGATGAAAGGAGTTACGAAGGAAACCCTCTTCTCTGTGGAGCTCTATTGCAAAATAACTGCTTTAAAACTGAGTCACCATCAACAGCACCAACTACAGAAGACGATGAAGGAGAAGGTAGTTTCATGGACACATATGTTTTTTGTGTGAGCTTTCTGGTTTCATATGTAATTGTTTTATTGGGAATTTCTATTGTTCTATACATAAATCCATATTGGCGACAAGCATGGTTTTCTTTCATTGAGAGTTGCATCACTACCTGTCGTTACTCAATTGTGGGCAATTTTCTTGAGTTATACATCTTCAAAAGATGTGCTTAGGTGTCATGGGAGCTCTTATGATTTGCCTTTTGTTTAAATGTGGTGAAGACATGGATAAAGTTGATTTTTGTTGTCAGAAGAAGTTTGGTGATTTGATCTTTTAAATGGGGGATTTCTTTTAGCTTACTGTTTTGTTAAAATAGTTGTAGGAAGAGTTGTGGATTTTGCACTTTGAACAGAGCTTTATGTCTCTGTCGAAACTCTGTTTTTGGTATTTGTTTTGTTTTGAAGGAAGCCTGTAGCTTTGTGTCTTGTTGATTTTATTTTCTACACAAATATTCAATTCTCTATTCTCCATCATCTACAAGTTATTATTAATATCTTTTCCAAGTTATTATTCAAATTGGCAAATTTTTCCTCATTAGGTTTGACTTAGTTTTGAGCTTCTAGTAAATGATTTCTGGCATAAATTGTAGCGAAGGCAAAGATTGCTGGCTATGGCCTACCAAGAACTTTCTAAAGTTGTATTGGTTGGATTCATTTGTTTTAACTAGATTTTATATCGATCGTTAAAAAGCTTTTTCAATTTATTTTCTTTTGATGCTTAAAAATTAGTATTTTAAACAAAAAACAATTACTAATTCTATTCATATTAAAAATAATATGAAATTTAATTCAAGAATGTGTTTTTTTTTTTTTTTCAATTTCTCATTTCTAGCTCTTTTATAGAGGTTTATTTTTATTTAAATTACTTAATATTGTTGTCTTTCGAAAATTAGTGTTAGTTTATAAAATGGACCAAATAAGCATTTGATGTTGAAAATATCATTTTGATCGCAAAATGCAATTATTTTCTTTTATAGGGTTACAAATTATTCCGAAATAAAAAATTAGGTTTATATATCTCATACACATGCAAACCCCATCAACTAAATAAATTAAATGTTGAATCTCCCAAAGCAACAATGAGATCATGACTTAGTAGTTATGTTATAAACGGTGTTAGCCAATGAGATCATGACTTAGTAGTTATATTATAATTTATTAGTTCATTATTCAGTAATTGTAATTTGATTATGATATAATAATTGATTATTCAATTAATTATATGAATGTAATACTTGATTATGATTATAACAATTAAAAAAAACTAGAATTTTTGAATCCATTCTTTGCATGGTTAATTTTTATTTTAAAAAAAAGCTTAAATAATATATACCATATAAATAATGATTTCAAAAGTTCAAAGAGTTTCTCTTTAAAAAAACAACCTTCATACTACTTTATTCAAAAATAAAAAATTAAAAATAAATTTAAAAAACATAAAAAATAATAAAAATAAAACAACAAAGGTATCAAAGGAAAAAACAATTAAAAAAAAAAAGAATAACCTTATATCTAATTGTAGCATTTCCATGAAAGAAAATGAAATAATGGAGTAAAATCCCCATCCTCTTTCACCGCAAAGAACTTATGTGTAAATTTGATCACATATAAACCAATAAATAATCATAAAATAAGTACACCAGGTCTACAAATAATTAATAATTGGTATACAAAGATTACAAAAAATTAAACACATTTTATTATTTCTAATAAAATTGAATTATATTAATTTTTTAAAATGTTTATTTTTAAATCATTGATTAATGGAGAATGAGAAGAGATTAAAATTAATCTATACCTTACTACTAAGGATCCAGAACATCAACTTCACATTTGTAAATTGAATTACTTAATTTCATTTAATGACACTTGTCCTAAAAAATTATATAGGGTTTGCATCTGTGAAGTATCGATTGGAAACTATGGCTATAGTCACGGGCGTAGATATGAATATATATAAATATATATATATATATTCATAGAATTTTTTGGTTTTTTTTCTACATTGATCCAACTAAATTTAAATTAAAATAAAAATAAATAAATAAATAAAAACTATATATATTCATAGAAATTTTTGGTTTTTTTTCTACATTGATTCCACTAAATTTAAATAAAAATAAAAATAATACAAATAAAATTTAATCTATTTTATAAAACAAAATACAAGTAAAATGACTGAAAAAATCAAATCTATTATACTATAATAGTTGTCCAATTATGTACATGGATACACTCAAACAATTATATATCGAGATTAGCAATTATAAAATAATGTTATTCAATATTTTTCTAATAATGGGATAAGATATATTTAAATTTATCATTTATATTTTAGATCTGGGGAAAGGAGATTAGGTTGGGTTAAATTAATGTTAGAGGGGTTTATCATTTATAATTGTTTCAAAAATATAATCTATTTATATATTGTTGAATTATATAAAAAATGCTAATAATCTTGCAGTCATTTGCTAGTTAATATAGCATTAAACTCCTAATTTTTATGATCATAATTTTATTCTTGACATATTCAAATACCAAAAAATTAAGAGTTTAAATTTATATTAGAATGATCATTGATAAGTACTATACACTTACCAGCATCAAATCAATATTGATTGTAAATCTTAACACTAATTAACTTATTTAAAAATAATTAATTAAAATAAAATTAAAAAAAATTAGGACAGCCTAAATCGTTTTCTCAAATCTTCATTTAAAAAAGTTGATAAAAACCTAAGATAAAATGTTAATCACTTATAAAAAAAAACAAAATTCCCAATGAAGATTTGATTCCATTCTCTTTTGTTGTTTGCTATGGATGGCTGTAACTTCTAAAAAATGATAAATATTTATGGAAGTGATATCAGTGCGGTGTTGTTCTCAGAGACTGCGAGGGTAATATTAGAAGTTTGTTTTATGGCCCTCTTGGTGATCAGAAGTCAAATACTGCAGAAGTTTAGCCCATTAAGACTGCGCTTCAAATGTTTTCTTCTTCACCTCGGCTGGGAAAGGGAGCTCTAGTTTGGAATCAGATTCAAAAGTATCAGTGAGTTGGGTGCGTAATAAGAATGCCAGACCATCGAAACAATGGCTGATATTTGCGGAAATTTATAAGCTAGTGGAAATCATAGGAGAGGTTAAGTTTGTACACATTTTTAAAGAAGCCAATTACTTTGCTGATTCATTGGCAAGGAAGGGGGTAGACAGTCTTAGCTTGTTTTATGCATGGCTGTAATATGATAATATTTCCTGTGGTGAATAGGCAGTTTCTGGAAATATTGTTATCAGTTGTAAACACTGTTTCTGATCAATAAAATTTTTTTGACTGAGAAAAAAAAGAAACGAGGAGAAGTTTTCAATCCATTTTTGATTAAAAAACCTATAGCCTCATCTAAAAGAGGCAATTTTTAATCAAAATTAATGAAAATTTTGAGAAGATGAGAAAAGAGAGGAGAAAATTGCTAGAGTTTCTTCATTTTCTCATTAAAGCTCTATTTCGTTTTTTTTTTTCAATTAATTGTTAGTTATTACTAGTTGAATATGTTAATTAAAGAGAAAGGTTATTATGGATTAGTTTGGTTTCACTTTCATACATAAATAGGTTAGTTAAGGATTAAAGGTTATTATAAATTAATTTGGTTTCGTTCTCATAAAAGCGAAATATTAGTTTCAATCTTTTAAAAAATTATAATATGGTATTTTATTATTGATTTTCAAAAATTTGCTTTTAGGATCATTATGATGTTAGTGAAACCCAAAAAAATATATAGTATAAATTTTTTACATATAATTAAATATTATATGACTTCTTATTAAAAAAAAATTTTAAATAAGCCATCAGTTATGTGGAAAAATGTCTTTGATTTAAGAAGGGATTTCTGTTCGAGCCATTGCTAAGAAAAATGGACATTTCGTGAGGAATTGATAGTGTCACCTAATGCATCCTTCATGGCAAATAAAGAGAAAACCAATCTTTTTTTTCCTTTTCCTTTTTGCTATTTTTTCACAAATTTTGGATTGCCATTTTTGTTTAATTTGGGCTTAGAAAGCCCCAAAATAATTTGGGTTGCCTTTCCTTTTCTTTTTTCCTATTGGTCTCTTTTTCTTTTTTGTGTTTTGTAAAAATTCTTTTTACAAAAATACAAAAAAGTGGATATATATCTAAAAAAGTGCATGTAGGCAGATTTTTTTTTTTAAAGTGGATATAAGCATGTATCTTTTAATTTTAAATTTTTTATAATATTTTTTTGATTTTTTTTTATCAATTCTCCCAACTAAACTTGTGTCATTCATTTGACTCGTAACGTGAGTTTTAACCAAAAATTTTATATTAGCACTGGACTTTTAACATAGTGCAAAACATGTTTTGAACAAAAAATTGTGTTCTGAAAAAAATAATATCTAAAAAAAGATGCGTAATATTTTTAAATTGAAAACACATTTGTATCTTTTATTTAAATTTTTTGTAATATATATATTTTTTGCCAATTCACCCAACTAGTTGCTATCACTTGAAATATCAAAATCAATCGGAAGTGTATGACTATAGATATCTATACTAATATTAGAGGGATGTTATACGGTTAAAACCAAATATTATGTCGATCAATGCAAGGAAGCGATGTAAATGCAGTAAGCACTCAGAGTAGAGGGAACAACCAGGAGGTGTGGAAAAGAATATGGTCTCTGCAGGTTTCAACCAAGATTAGAACTTTCATGTAGTGGGTTTGTCATGATATTATATAGCTAATGGTTAACTTGGCAAGAAGGCAGATTCCAATGGAAAAAACTTGCTTGCGGTGCAGGGGTGGTGAATGTTCATGAGCAACAGAAGTGTGGGGACACCTAAACTATTAGTGGGAGATGATAACGAAGTGCAGTAAGAGAGTATAGGTTGGTTCCCTGAGATGATTATGAAACTTAAGCACAATTGTTGGCGATAACATGATGGACAATATGGAATAGTCGAAATTATGAGGCTCTCGGAGAGCAAAGGAGGAGTTCCCTCCGGTCAGCAACATTCGCCAAAACTTACTTGCTGGAATTCACCAAGCTCAGTAGAAGCAGATCATAATTCTGCAAACGCCAAATGGTATCTCAAAAATGAAAACTCCCAGTTAGTGACTGCTATAAAATAAACTTTGATGGGGCCATTGACAGAGAGCAAAAAATTAAAATTATAATGATAAAATATAGTTAAAGGATATTTTTTCTTTTAATTTTCAAAAAAACTACATACACATCTAAAATCACATAAATTTTTTTCAACTCACTTTTTTTTTCATTTTTCACCTAGAACATTATCATTTTCGATAGATTAAAAAAAGTGATAATCTATATAGATAAAATATGATAAGACTCGAAAATATTAAAATAAGTTATCTCATATCTAATAAATTATCAATATCATATAGTCTTATATTCAAGTTGAATCTCTTCATTTATTATCAATTAATTTTAAATTGTATACTTAACATGATATCAGAGTCAAGATTTTTCTTCCATTGTTCTTTTTTAATTTGTTACGTGAAAAGTTTCTTTCATTTTCACCTATATGTGACGGGGTCT